TTACTCAATTCACCTATTCCTTTTGTGACGAGAGAATGAGTGCCGATAGATAGAGCTTGTGGAAGCGATAGGAGATGACTCAAAATGTCAATTCATGAGTAGAATCATGGCCGATGTAGATGAAAGTAAGTCAGAAAATCTTTGCTTATACGAGGAACTTGATGATTTTGACGAGCTATGAATTTATACAAGTCAATAACGAAAAGGACTCGGATACATAGAAAAATCCAAAAATAAAGCAAATCCAATAGAATGACAAACACCCATCAATCAATCAAAAAGCTGCAGTGCAAAAAATCCGCGATTGCGTAGAGGAAAACAAAAAAAACGCCCTGATGTCAAAGGAAGAAAAAAAAGAATAACGGGAAAACTCAAAAAATGTTTAAACTGTCAGTTATTGACCCAAAGAGAAGAAAAATTGAACTCAATCCGAGTTGAAAAACAAACTGAAAACTTAACGCATTGTTTTATTTTGACTGTAATTGTGATTATTAAGTTTGACAAAAGAGCAAAGCGTTAGAAAAAAAAAGATTTTTTTAAGGGTTTACTGCAACCAGTTTGTCGCAACCGATAGCAAAATTTTAATCTTCTCAACTCAACAAAAGTGTATCTAAAAAATTAGTATTTCTGCGGCTACCAATTATTTTGACTCGAAACAACTTTTTACAGCAGACTTGCTAAAAATTCAACTGAACAAAAAAAATTTGAATTTCTCATTAGCTTCGTTTGTTCCGGCGATCAAATTTTTAAAATTTCTTTTTTGATTTAAAACCAGTGTTCAGAATAAATTCCAATTGAATGGACCGCTGCGATTTTTAAAGTGTTACTCAGTTTTCACAAAAAAACTTCAAATAAATGGCTTGCTGCATTTTCAACAGCAGCTTGAAACTGAGCCAGTTCTCAGTCAAGTTAGAAATCAAAGAACGGTTACAAATTATAAATTCGTGTTGCAATTTACAAGGTTAACTACCGCAATTTGCTTGATAGCTTTCAAAATATAAATTTAAATTAAAATGCTGGTTAAGTAAACAGAGAGAAAAATTTGGAGTGGAAAAAATTGCAAGAATAAGTTATTAAGAGAGTTTTTCCAGAAAGCGAATTTAAAAAGACAAATTTTTAAACAATCTTTGACATTCAGGAAGAGTGTAATGCATTTCTTGTCAAATAAAATCAAAATATGCCGACCAAGCAAAAAATTTACCTGCAAAAGATCAAATCACCGCACAGTAATTTTGTACTCTGGAAAAAAAATTCGGGAAAAGCTCTGTTTTTTTATCGACTTGACAGAAGCTTGGTGCAATGAATCTTCTAATGAAATTTTCTATAATCTGAATGGTTTTAGCAAGTTAGAAATGAGCATTTTGTACATAAAAGAGTATTTGAACTATAAAATAATGAAAAAAAAGCAACAAAACTCAAAGACATATTACAACAAAAAAACTACGAAGAGTTGTTATTGATAACAGTTTCCTTCAGATTGCCTATTTTTGCCATTGAAGAGACTTTAGGTTATGTTAAAGAACTCATACGTTGTTTTACAAGACAAAAAGGCATTCAAATATGTTTACTGTTGTTGCAAAAACTTTTATTTGAAAGTAAGCAATGATAGTAACCGGATGTTTATTAAAACCTAATACAAGCTCTCAAGGCTCGTTTGACAAAGTACCCAACTAGAAAATCAGCTAAGTCAAAACTCAGGTAGAATAAACAAATTTTGAAAGTTCGAGAAAAGTTTTAGCGAGGGGCATGCCAGGCCATCTGGAAAAAATAGATTTTATTCATCAACTTTTTTTCAGTTGCTTTTATCTTTTCAAGATTTTAAATTCTAAAGACAATTTAGCAACGCATCTGCTCTTAGTGATAAACGCAGTAATAGATGCTTCAGCTCTTAAGAAAATTAAAATAAACACAGAAAGAACAAGACTGCTCGTATCAGGGCGAAGCCCTGAATGTTCCCACTGCCTTTTAAGGTTTATGGAGCAGTAAACCCTTTAAAAAATTCAATGAAATAAAACAAAATGAAAAAAAAAAGTTATAAAATTTGAAATTTTTTTGATAAAAATCATCCCCCCACACGCCATATAAAGTACAAAAGGATAGATTTGGCTCCTTGTAACAAACCAATTATGGCAAATAGGCTTCTTTTAACCAATTTGGAACGATTTCTAAGATGGATTAACTCTCCGCTTACGCGTTAATAACGCGAAATATATCGCGCGTTAATTGTCCCAAATTGGCCAAAATGGCAATCTTTAAGCCCCCGTAACTTTACGAAAAATAATCACAGGTAAAATATCTTTTCAAATTTTAGCTCAGGACAACAATACCTTTCGAATGATATAAAAAAATTCCGTCAAAAATGGCTAGTTAAAAAGTCGAAATTTGTCTGAAGAAAAAAAAACCCACTCCGAGCACAAATATTCCGTTACTTTTGTATCGAAAGTCGGAACAAAAATCAAAGAACAGACGATTAAAAGCGTATAGATCATAGCATTAAAGACGGCCGTGACGCGAGAGTATCTTGCCATTAAAACAGACCCATTGTGGCAAACGATCGCAAAATGTTGAAATAAAGTTGAGCCAGGCTTGAAAAGGATAAAATCAGAACACTATGAGACAAAAAATCATTTCTGTCAACAAAATGTTTTGAAATAATTATCAAAACAATTATAAAAATGAGATGATAACGGACTACTTAAATGATTTTTGTGTGAGAATGGTCTCCTGCAAATTATTTGAACACTGTTTTTTGAACAGAAAAGTTATCAAAACCGAGCAAAATGATTTTGGGATACAACAAATTGATAACTGATAATCATCAAGTTTTCATCAAAGTTAAAAATTTAGCAACGACATGGTCAAATAAAAATCCCAAATGCAGTCATTTTTTCTAAAAATTTTTGAGATAAAAGTTCGTCAATACTTAGCAGCCATCGTAAATTGATGCTTTTTCAATTTTTTTTACTGACTTCACGTTTTACTAATTACCAAAATTCGTAAAAGTTACACCTATACATAAACGTGGAGTTGTAACTGTTGCTGGTAAATACTCTCCATATCCATTGCTACCTTTTATGAGCAGTCTTAAAAAAAATTGGCCAATGAAAGTAAGTTTGCTAAAAAGTAAAAACATATCACCACATCAAATTGATTACATAAATATGAGGTCAACAGTAGATGCAATTTTAGATGTTGTGGAGAATGTTGACGATATAATTTTACAAATTACGAGGTTGTAGCATGTACAATTGTAGAAGTTTGCAAATTATTTTGGTACGTTAGATCAGGGACTTCTTCGCAATAAATTAATGCTTACTGCTGAAGACTAGCATTTTATCAAGTTTTGAAATCATTACTCACAAACAGGTATCAAAACTTTACAGCTTGAATAGTCAATCAAAATTGTTTTGCGCGGTTTCGCATGGATAAGTTTTGGAGTTTTTACTTTCTAGGTAATTATGAATGATGTGCCTAATTTGTGTTCGAAAAACAAATTGTGATACCATTTGCAGACAAGCAATTTGTTTCGATCAATTCTGAAAATGGCATAAAGTTAAATCAAGCTTGGCAAAAAATAACATGGAAGGAAAACTTTAAAGTAACAATTGTGTTTCTGAAATGCAAAATCTTCACTTTTGGTAGAAATCAGCCATTTGGTAGTATGAAATATAATTGTCATGAGCTAGAACACCAGAAAAAAAGTAGCTGGTAAAATATTAGATGGAAAGCTTGATTATAAAGCAGCAAAAAGTTCAACAAAATAAAGCAATCTAAAAACTCACGGCCCAAATTACCACTACAGAATGTTTTCAACCAAAAAAAATTGTTAGATTTTGCGAAGCGTTGGAAAAACCTGTATCGCAATATAGAATTATGTTAAACGCGATAAGACAGAATTGATACAAAAAACCCAAAATTTCGGTTTACCCATTTGTTTTTTCATTTCAAAAAGAAGGAAAACTGACAAAAACCATAAGCAATCACAGGTTTTAATCAAGCAAAAAAGTTTGTGGTTGCAATTTGAATAAAGTTTTGACTGAAGTAGTAACGAAATAGCATCGCTGACCAATAATAGCGTTTTATCAAATGAAGAAAAAGATCAATATCTCAGCCGGAAAAATAAGTTCAGAGCAGCAGCCAGTACAAGAAAAAAATGGAGATCCGGTTACTGTGCACGTAGCACAGAATGTTCCCACCTCAATCTTTACAAGTTTTTTTTTGATTTTAATGAACTTTTTGTCCGCGGTATGATGAAAAGATTTGAGTTGAATCTATAGTTAAGGCGTATTAGGTATTTTTGTATACATTTGTTTTAAAAATGACAAAAAATAATTGTTTTTGCAGACTTAGGCCACCTTTATTCGCTCAAATCTAAAGTTTCTATCCAGTTTTTCTCAATACCGAGAAAACTCTCTAAAAAACGTATGATGGCGTTCGATTTACGACTGAAAGGGCTTCAGTTTGGTATATCCCTGGACCCATTCCAATAATTATTTGTGGTTCCTGATTTTACGTTGAAAACAAAAAAAATAAAAAAACTAAGTCAAACCCAAGTAAAAAAAAATCCTCGTCGATTTTCAATTGGTCGGAACAAAAGTCTTTTAAAATTTTTAGCGCTTTTAAAATTCATATTCGAGGTTTATCAATTTCGAGATTTGTTCATACTAGACATCAATATTGTAAGTGAGCTATTCTGGTGAAGATGAAAACAGGTAGACTCAAAAGCTCTCGCACCTAATTAGATTTTAAACCATTTTCCCCTCTCTTTTTTCAGTAAACAAATGCATTACACATAAAAATTGAAATTTTAGTTCGATCTTGAGACGTCCGTGACATGCTCACTGCCTTTTCAGGTCCTTATAAGTATATTAACTGCGAAAATCTTGGAAAAGATTTTATTAGATTTATTTGCTATTTAATTGGTCTGTTTTATTAATGCTAATTTTAAATCGCATTTTTAATGTTTTTCTGAATACTTTTTTTAAACAGCTTTTTTTCAGTTTTGCCAACAACCGAAGTGAGTCGACAGCCTTTGGTTTGAATGAATGGATTCCACACATGATGACCCCTCATAACCCTTTTTGGAGTGCATCGCTACTGGCAGTTTACACCTCAATTAGCCTAAATTTCCTATTCATCTTCCTTTTTATACCAACTTTGTTCAGTCTTTCAGTGTGCAAATTCGAGAAAAGACCAAAAATGTTCCGCCGTTTTTGTGTTTTCTGCCAAATCATCACGGTAGCAGTTTTCGTTCTAATGGTATCCGTTTTTGTGTGCTTTGGAATTGGAATTGACCATGATGTAATCACAAGTGAAGACCAGCTTGATTACGTAATTAATTGTGGAAATCCGGCATCCTTTCAACCCGACTTGTGTGAATTTTCATTGGGCTTTTATAAATCAATTTGGGCTGCAACTGCTCAATTGTTGGCTCTTTTTCACTGTTTGGCCGCCTGTTTCTTCGACTTACAGCCTAATGATAAAAAATACAGGTTAACGTCGGCAATCAACTACTATAATAACCGACGAAACAAAATCAAAACCAGAAAATAAGGAACTAAAAACAATCATTTAAAAACTTGATTTTTGAGGCAAAAATGATTACTTAACAAACAACCCCCCCCCCCCCACCCAAACAAGGACTTAAAGTTTTTGAATTCAAGGAATCACCATTTAATTCCGAGTCTGTGAAAGCCATTTTTCACTATCTGCGTTAATTTTTCAAGCGGACTGAAATGTTTGTCAAATAATTGGATTAAAAAATTAGTTGTTGTAACTTCAATTTTCTTTTCAGTTGACGAAGAAAATCCTGAAATTCAAGGACATAAATTTTTGATAACTTTATTAAAATTACTCTCGAGGTATTATTTTTTGAATCATAATCCTTTCAAGTTCAGTTCAAAACCTGTTGAAATGAACCGTTTTATGTTTGAAACAGAGCACTGCAGTCTCTTTTGTCCAGAAGTGTATCTCAAAGAGCTCTATTTTGGAAAATATTTGAATTTTTTTACTGAAAAGGTCCAAAATCGTAGCAAAAATTATTTATACCAGCAAAAAGATCATTTCTAGCATTCGACTAGTTTAAACCGAGAATATTTCCGGCTTTCCAGACTGGCAATTCACAATTTCTATTAAAGGCTTCTCGAGAGTTTTGTGAAAAAAAAACTTTAAAAAAAAATTAGTTGTAGATGATTTCCACACATCAGAACAGAACAAATGTGGTACAAACTAAGTTTGGATGACCCCCGAATGCGAGAGGTGTGAGAGAGGATCAACAGTATCAGAGGCAGACTGTCCGGAATATCCTTCGGAATCAGCCAGTCCGATAGGGACCGACCCATCCGAATGTCAAGGGTGGGAGAAGAGAGTCATAGACAGAGACAGGGTAAGGGGCGGGGGCGATCGGAGCAAGATGAACATCAGGATGCGATTGATGAAACTTACATGGATCAGTTTGACATTTAATAGTGCAGATCAATCGGCTCTTTTTCTTTTTCCTCACCCGCTAATTGTTTTAAGTAACTTGTAATTTTCATATTCACATGGTCTGATTGTAACGAAAACTGGTTTGCGACTAATTAGACCACGACAAATATATTTGGCCAGCATACTTAACATGTAAGAACCCGCTACGTCGTAACATTGATGCTTATTTGATGTGAGCGAGGAGAGGGAGGGGGGGGGTTGTTGAGAGCCGATTGAACGTTGTTTTCTAACTTTCGGTTTTCAAATTAAAGGTTATTGAAGATATTGATGAGCATCGGTTTCTCCTGCCGTAAATAAATTGAACTAAATTTTCTTTCTGTCAACCAAGTTTACTTTCAACTTGAACGTAATAATGTCATTTTGTATTTTGTAATACCACCAGACTAATTTGCAACTTCACACTTTGAGATTGACTTACCGATGAAAAAAGATCAACAAAATCAGAACAAACTGTTTTCATACGTCAGTTGTTCCAATTAAGTAATCATCACAAGGCTGTTTTAAAGTTAGAAGCCCAAAATTATTGCGTTTTTTTCTGATCAGTCTTTCTATGAAAAAAAAGTCTTTATTCTTTAATAAAAAACTTGATCACAGAAAATTATCGAAAAAATACTGTTCTAAATCATTGGACAATTTAAGTCTTCTCATAAAACGAGCCATTTTTTCTTCGATTTTTGCAAGGTTGTTTGGATTTTCAGGTCAAATTAAAGACTCATAGCTTATCAAACGCATTAGTTTTTTCAACATTTTCCTTTTCTTCGCTGTAGTTCTCTCCGTCCATTTTTTTCATTGCGTTATATATATATATATATAAATACTCATTTTGTAACATTCGCCCGGAAGATACATATCGACGGATAACAAAACTAAGTCTTAGGACGACTGGCTAGCGTCTAAACAGAGCTTTGCATGTTTTTCACCGTCTCTACCAAGCCAGTACTTTTCGGTGGTCTTTCTTACATCGGGTCGACAAAAACGTTACTGTTCTCCGGCTTCGACCAGAACGCTCAAATTAACTGAATTACATGCAAAAATAGTGAGCTCATGGCTGGGTCTCAGTATCCCCAGACCACGAGGTCACTCCTAAAAACAGGGCTACTACTTATTATATTACTATTGTTTTTTTTCAGTAGATAAAAATCATCATCTCCATCGAAGATGGATCAACCCTTTCCCCCCAACTCTTAGCACCTCATCCTTGTCAAAACTAATCCAAATATCAATTAAATTCAAGTCAGGACATGACAGGATGCTAAAAGTTCATATGAGTCAATAAAAGTTTCCGTCCCGAGACCCTTCCGGATTCTTGAATCCGCTGAATCAAGCCCGTTGATCTTGATTTCTTCCTAATCCGGAAGGCTGGTTTCTTACCCTTCACCGTTGTTTGCAACGGCCTTGCAACTATTGTAGTAGCACAATAGTTGCAACTCGGAACGTTCTCTGCAATCTGCTGCTGTTTTTCAATCACGATTGTCGTTCTTATCGTCAGCGCAACTAATGTGGTTGTGTTTTTTCACTCGTTCTTTGTTAAAAATGGCCGTTTCAGCATTTCTCAGAAATGTTACGTCATCACTTCGAAAATTTAAAATTTTAAATTACGGGAATATCTTGACCTTCACCGTTCTGCTAATCATCCGAATAACGTCGTTAATCCTTCAAAATCATTAACTCGGAAGGTTCATTGCTAAAATTCCAAAGTCTGCAGAGATTGCATTTTGGCCATTCTGGTCGAATGTCACATACTCCCCGGACAGTCCGGTCAATGTCCTCATTGAATCGCGCAATATTCGTAAAATGGTTACAGTGTCCTCGAACAGAATTTACAAAATGCACGAAATTACTTTTATCCACGTCACATCGACTCACTGCAGAATATAAATGGCATCATATTACATCACAATAGCCTTCAAATTCTCTCATTAACCTGCACTCTGATGATATGACTTAAGATAAAACATGTTTTCTGACTTCCAGTGTCAATGTCCCGATTAAAACTTTTTCTCCTAGATTTAAAAGGTGTTGGCTTGCAGGACAGTCCTGCCAACCAACAAGCTAAAATTATCCTACTATGCTCCTTCCCTTCGGAAATCTTGCTTGTTTACTATATTGAATATTAAAACTAAGAAACTCTGTGGTTAGAAAGAACAATGAAACAATCTCCCTCTTCGAGAGATTACTCAAGCCTTCCACGTCACCACAAAGTGATCAATCTTCCTAAGTGATTAAAAACAATCATGCAGGCTGGAATATTTAAATATACTCTTCCCTTAAGCCTTTCTAAATAAATAATAAGTGTCTCTAAAGCCACTTCTGCTAAAATCAAAATGCAAATTTATAAATGCAACAATTTCAAAACTCAACAAAATGTTTCAGTTTTCAATTACAACTTGGTTGCTTGGTTTCTCACTTGAGTTTTTCACACACATAAAACAATTCTGAGTTTTGACTTTTCTTCATCATCCCTTTGTTCTCTTCTTTTTTTGTCGTTTAGAAGTTCTAAAACCTCTAAATTCTTCTAATTTTCTTTCTTGTTACCTCTTGTTTTCTCGACCATTCGTCAATGTTCCATTTCCTCCTCCTGTGACACTGACTCCGCACTTTCGGTTTCCGTGTCTTGTAGCACGTCATTGACTATCCTGACGCTGTTGGAAGCCGTCCTCCAACACTTCTGCTCTTGCACCCTCTGTTTACAGCAAGGTAGGGGATCCACACTTGATTCTCTGTTTCTACAGAAGCTGTTGTGGAGACACAACGTCACGTTTCTCTCCAAATCTTCTTTCAGCATCTCTGCCTTCTCATTTCCACTACGCTCACTCGTCCTGGAAATTCTTTTCACAGCGGTGGTCACTGCATTCCGATGGGTCACGAAAGCTCGCTTGAAAGCTCCTGCCCCAATGTCCAGCTGATATTCACTGTATACTCTGCCATGCTTCGACATATGCTTTTTCGCATACTCGTACAACCATGCAGTCATGTTAGCTCTGAACCATGGCATCAATCGTTTTCTTGCCCATATCTTCTTCACTTCCATCGGAATGTTTAGAACTTTGCACATTGTCTCAAAAAGATCTAAATCTTTTAGACAATCTAATTTCCGCAATTGTTCTCTCGTCGGTGCCTCCTGTCTATTATTTTCTCTCACATGAGCTTCCAGCCATCGTATCGCCATCATAACTCCCACTATCACTATTGTTACGGGCTGTGATGAATCTGGTAAACCCATGGAGAGCAGCTCTCCAGAGTCCCAGATCAACATCAGATTACTACGCTTGGGATACCACCAGGTCTGCAGCAAGCAGTGGCAAGGAAACTCATCATGCGTCAACCTGATGCTCCTCCAATTACGTTTTCCCGAAGTTTCCAGCAATGGTTCCACTTCCATCATCACTCGGTGGATTTCATCATTCTCATCTACTGCATTGTAATCTGTGACAGTTGATCCTCTCTGTTTCTGTTTTTCGAAGTCACTGAAGTTCCCGCTCACATATCCCATGAACTTCTTTCCTAGTATTGACTCCAACTCTTCTTTGGTTCTCTCTGGAATTGCTGAGAACATCTTACATAGTAACTCGTAAGACTTTTCAGACATCCTCGCTAATCTCACACACTTCGGCACTGAGAAGGCTTGATCCACAATCGTTCTTGTACTCTTTACGTCCACAGCTACGAAATGTACAGGATATCTGCTCTTGCACATTGGAGCCAACGTTGAGCCCACCAAATATCGTGCTCCTGATGGTCTACAATAAGCTTCGCTGTGTCTGATGTTCATCTCTGTTTCGATTGCTTCCCTCCATTTTCCTATATACTTCTGCTCAGTCTGCAGAACGCCTGGGAATACTTCTACGCTGATGGCTGTGAACATCTCATGTTTCTGTTCTAGATTCAATAGTGACTCTAAAGAACCAAACATGCTGTAGAATCCTAGTGCTGTCACTAGATTCACATCGGTTCCTCCATGGCAATCTGCTATCAGTTCCGTTTCCGTTCTTGCTTTCATCACTACATTTCCAAACAATACTGTCAACTGCTTGTGTTGTTTCTCCAGGGTTTTCACACAGTCTAGACTTCCACAAACGTGACCCTCTAGTCCACAGACTCCCGCCAGACAGCTACCAGGTTTGACCCAGTCTTCTGGTCCCCAGCCAGGCAACTCCACTTTATCTTCTCCGTTGCTCTTAGAGGCTGTTATCATCACATTATATATGATGTTGAGGTCACGCAGGTTACAGTCTGCATTCAGTTCCCTCTGTATGTCTTGTGTCGCCCGTAATATTGAGTCAGCGTTGGGACTAGGACACCATGATGGCCTCATCAATTCCCACACTGCCATCAAGCTCGTTCTCAGTAACTCATCTGAGAATCCCAACCCAAACTCCACTCTCTTGTCGGATTTTGGTACGGAAGGTGCAGTCACCTCTTCTTCCAAGACCAGTCCCAATTTGGCCTGTGGATTGTTGACGCTTTTAATCGTTACAATTCTGGACGTCCAGAATCTTAGTAACACCGCCTGCTCGTAATCAAAGAAATAATCACGTATGTCTTCACTCAGGAAAGGATTGTACCCTATCCCTATGATCCCAGATACATAGCTATATGACTTCTTCTTGATCGGTCCACAGTATTCACTGGACTTCGGCAATGCTCCCATAGATTCTTTAGTGAGTCTCAGCTCCTTGTTTGAGAATCTCCTGATCTCATCTATCTTTTTCATGGGCTCCAATTCTTCAGGTTCTTTCATGTTCACCCTCATCGGTTTACTTTGCTGCATGTCCAGCAGTGCTAGCAAGAACAAGGCTTTCGTTCGCTCATCGCCTTCCCTCAACATTTTAACACAAGTGTTTAATGCAGGTACTGAAATCTGCTCTATCAGGAATCGAATGAAACAGAGAGCATCTCTCCGCTTCGCACACGCTACTG